TCTATTATTGTTATTTTTAACATTTAAAAATTGCTAGATCGAATGTGTCATGTTTGATTCTGTTGAATCAGCAGGGTTTATATATCTGACAATTGCGTATGAACACCATTATGCTCCACTATACCCCCTTATGAATGAACATGCCTCAAAAATATTCCTTTTGGACCATTTCAGAGGTTGAAAAGAATTTGTGATAAAGAAAAAGATTTTGAAATGAAATGACAAGATATGATTCACAGATTTAAACAATGTAGCTATAAAAACAGAGTAATCTATACATCTTATAATAAAGCAAAAGATAGCAACTGCTAATAAAAAGACCTAAATCGAATCAGTATTTTGTCACACAATACAGTGCAGAGGCAAATCAAATCAAGAGAATTGTAAAAAGTAATTGGAATATTTTGATGAGTGATCCCCATCTCAGGGAAGTTTTACCCGTGTCCCTCTCCATTGTATTTCGAAAAGCTTCAACTATTTAAGATAAACTTGTGAGAAGCCATCTTTCCACTAAGAAGACTAATACTTGGTTAGGTTAAACAACAGGAAACTACACATGTGGTAATTGCAATCATTGTGATAACATATTTAAGACAAACATATTTAGAGATCCATCATCAGGCCGTGAATTTAAGATCAATTAATTTATTACAATACTCCAGTCGATAAACAACCAATGTAGAGTCCGTGCGGATGTTTTTATATAGGAATGACTAAGAGAAAATTAAAGTTGAGATTTGGAGCAAAAAAATGTGAAACGTACCTGTTATTTACAATAGCCTTTGGCCCTACATTATAGAAATCAACGTCACAGCAATCCCAGTTCATTAAAAACAGTTGGTATTAAACATATTTATAATTCTACAAGAGGAGACAGGATAAAAACATTAAAACAGAGAGACTTTTTGGATCTATACATTAAAAGCAACCAGATTTCCAGGTTTAAATGGCATATTAGATTGTTCTTTTTTTGTAAAACTGTTTTTCTATAGATGTTTTACAGATTATTATAATATATTGTTGAATATGTATATGTGTGTGTGCATTCTTTGTGTACATGTTTATATATGTGGATGTGTATATATCCTCCTGAAAACCAAATAATTTTTTTTTGTGATTTCCTACATCCTTTGGGTTAAACAAATCTACAATTTAGAGTTTTTACATTTTGTTTTTATTTTTAATTTTACAGCATGTCCAATGTAGTGTACCACAGGACCATTTTAGTTCAAACGACCGCCACTCAGGCAACAAAACTGTACAGGATATGGCTGTAAAGGGATATTAATCCCATATTAATGTTACAAAAATAAAGCAAAAGCCATTTTTTCCCTTTTGTATTGAAATTCCTAGAACAGGTTACTCTAAAAGAGAGCCGAACTTAAAAAAAAAGTAAAAAGAAGTGACGTTAATCTAAAACAAATTGAACATAAAAGCGATTTAGAACTGATTGTCATTTTCTAATTGTCTCTAATTCTCTAATTGTCTGATTGTCAGACTCTAAATCAGAGTCTCCCTCAACTATCTTATTAAGAATCCTCTCTGTTTCAGTTCTGCCCCCTTCAACATGCAGTCATTAAGTACATTAAGATGGTCCTGGTGTCTACTATAGTGGACATTAAAAAAAGGATATTTTGAAACACAAACAAGTTAACAGCTTTAAAAGCTAAATGTATTGTTCCTGACACTTTATTAAACAAATATATGTCATAATAATAGTGAAAAAACATATTATAAAAACGAAATTTTTCATGCCTCTACCCTTCCCATAAAATGTGCTTTTTTGTATGTCGGCCATTTAGGATGCAGTGTAAGAAGTGGTTCCTAGCATTCCAGCAAATCAAATGACATATCACTAGAAAGTTCAGGATGCCCTCTGAACAGTACAGCAGGACTTGACAGAGTAGCCCAAAAAAATTCAAAGAAAATTCAATGTCCACTACTGAGGACACAAGTCAAAGTCAATGGGCGGGGTCTCAGGAGGATATATGTATGTGCACATGTATATATACGTGTATATATGTATGTACATGCCATGTTTAAGCATATTTATCTGTACATATTTGCTTATTAGTTTTATACACACACACAACCACACACACATACATACACACATACATACATACATACATACATACATACAGACAGACAGACAGACAGACAAGATAGAAAGATAGAAAGATAGATAGATAGATAGATAGATAGATAGATAGATAGATAGATAGATAGATAGATAGATAGATATTTAAAGATTACCATAACTTTCTTTTCATGGCGACTTAATGAGGGACTTTGTTGAGAGATGATCAACAGTTAAAACGTCAGCCCGACAGGTTCACCGGGATGGTTTTTGATCTGTGAAAATGCCAGAGCATTTAGGTTATCCTGTCAGGGGCTTTTACAAATGCATAGCCCTTCTTTGATGTGGGAGGCTCCAGCTCTCTGTTCTTTCAAAGCAGTGGGGTGTAAGCAGCCCCTGTCATGACCCCGACCTCATGGAGATTAAGACCACCCTAAGAGCACTAGTGAAAACACATTTGTGCCTCTCCGCTCTGTGAAGAGAACATCCTTGTCAGAGGGGCTGAATTGAATCCCAGTTGTAAAGGTTTGTGCAGAACTGGAGGGTTTACCTTGGTGTGGTGACCCGGATGGGAGTGAGTTGTAGGTGGGTAAGAATAAAGGAAGACCATCAAGTAAGAGCTGTTTGGATAAACCTCGCTCCCCCTGGCCTCAAAGCTTGTTTTAGTGATGTACACCAGAAGCTGTGCTCTTTGGCATTCTTGTAATTGCATCCACCTCCCATTTTTTGAGGTGCAGAGATTCAATCCCAGTTGGAGAGGTGCGAGTAGAACTTGAAGGTTTATAACAGGGTGCACTCACACTAAGCTATCTGAACCATGCCCAGGCACATTTCCTAGGTGGTTTCTGCTCTGAATCGGGCCCAGGCGCGGTTAAGTTAAGCTTTGGCGCAGTACGCTTGTAGTGTGAGTTTAGTTGATCAAAAATGAAACCCCCTCTGCACCTTCAGCAAATCTCCTAATACGTGCAGCACAAAGACTTTTATGATAATTTATGAGCATCAAAAGTGTTGGATCTGATCTGCAAAAATATTTGACTGCGTGTCACTGCATCCCAAACGACTAAAAATAATACAAAATGATAGAACTAAAGCATAGTGTGCTGTGCCTAGTGAGAGCGCTTTCTCTTTCGCTTAACCAGTTAAACTCTGCTGCTATTTTGGGATTTACACCTGGATTTTGCCAACCCAAATTTTAAAGCTTCCCAAATCCACATGCAGAGGTGTAAATGCAAAAATTTGTTATCATTTAAAAAAAAAAACTTTGAATTTTCATAAAACACTATTGAAAGTGTTTAAAATAACTGTATATGGTGCCTGTGTTATAATAAACACCTAAAAAAAGAGCCACTTTTTGTATTTTTTTTATAAACTCAAATTTGAAAGTGTACCTTTAAATTCTGTGTGGTCTAGCATGCTGTAATTAATTTTGGTGGTTCCTGCACATGTCTGTAATCATAGAAAAAAAAGAAAAATGTCTCTTCTATAATTTATGCAAAAGTTATTGTATAGCACCTCTCATCAGTTAGAATACAAACCACAGGGATTGATCATTGTTTACATATTTCACTATTCTTTAGTTTGATCAAACATAAATCACTGTGTTTGGATCACGTCAGATATATAAAAGGATTACTTATGCACATCACCTCAAAAACAGGAGAAATGGTTCTAAAGCGCACAGCATAAGGTAAGAGATGACAGCTGTCTGTGCTATCTGGGGCTGCTTATTGATCACAAATGTATTGTTTTCACTTCTGCGGCATGGAAACACAGCGATTCATTTGACAACTGTTTTGACAACTGTTGAACAATTGTGCTTCGGCATGGTTCAAGGCAACCGTGCAAAGTGTGAGTACACCATCAGTGTAGTGACCTGGTTGCAAGTAAGGGTTATGTGGTTGAGTAACTGAGGTCAGCCAGTAAAGAGGTAAACCTCAGAGGTGCACTAGCTAGCAAATGATGTTAGAATTTCAGTCAACGTACATAAGTTCCATGTTAGGGGTGTTGAATTGAAACCTCACAGAGCGAGACATGAAGAAACAGGGTTACATTGGTTAATGACCCGGATGGGAGTGAGGTTTAGGTGGTTGAGTGTGACTGAGGTGAGCTAGTAAAGAGGTAAACTTACTCCTGACCTTAAGAGCTGACAGTTTGTGTAAATGTGCAATTTTGAATCTTTTAATGTCATATTTTTTTTTGGTCAAATATGTGGTTGTAATAGTTAGTCTTTACCAAACCTGTCTTTTTGTTGGTCATTAAACCTTTATTCTGCCTCTAAAGTCTGTCTGAAAGGAGTTTTATGAGGGGCATTTGTGCATAAGCACGGTCTGCAAGGTCATTCCCTGGGCAGTGAGGCAACAATATTAGCCATCTTTACTTTCAGCTGCAACCTTCCTCTTCAGATATACAAGCGACTTGGTAAATATGTATAATGCTACAAGAGAACATAATATGAAGCAACTATATATATATATATATATATATGAAATTAAAAAATTTCTGCTATCATTATCACTCACCTAATCGGTCACTAATAAGCATTACATTAAACACTGCTACAAATTGTTGTTTTAAGCATATTTGTTCATTAAAATCCATGTATAATGCTTGATTTAAGATTAGCGTTTATGTTTAAATAGTGTTCATTTTCTATGAAACTTATCATCAGTTTATCATATTGTCCAGAATTGATTTTGCTTTACTCAAATAACATCAGTGAGGGACACATGATCATGCTTATCAAACACACCTGCAAATATTTTCCACTTTTAGTCATTTGCATCATGGCAAATAACCTAGTATTATCATCCCGTTTCTAGCAGTTCAAAAACGTAAATAAACTGAATCAGCAGCTCCATCTACTGGGGATGTGTTGTCGCTACTCCACTGAGATTTTGAAAATCCTAACCCAATGACTGACTGCAGCATTTGCATACATTTTTTATTTATTTTTCAAACAAAGAACGTCTTATACATTTTTTCCAAACCACAACATGAACTCAAATGAATGTCGAGGATGTCAAACTAAAAACACTTAATGCTCTAAAAGGTTTTCCATGTCTTTAGATGAAGCATCTAAGAAAAATGCAACTATCAAAAACTGAGTCCAAATATACAACTGCCAACTGTGTGTGTTTATGAAACGGTACTATAATATCTGTAGCAGTGGTGTTAATATACATGTTCCAGGTAGTTTTCTATAAAGTGATAGTAGTATGTACAATCCCCGAAACATCTGATGACCAACACAGTACTGCGGACAAGTGACATGACGCTGTCATGTGACCCAAGCCAACGCAATGTACTGGTACACAGTGTCAAGATGCAGTCAGATTTGTGAACAAATGTTGCTGCTACAGGAATGGTGTTGTCAGAAAATGCACTTGAAATCTCTCAAATCATTGGTCAAGTCGGATTATAATGGACAGCGCCATTGGCTACAAAAGCCACTTTCTGACAGAGTCTTACATGAAGCACTCGAGAGGACTTTCCCATGATGATACGGTTGCAATTGGAGACTAATATTTTGGCTTGTTGAAGGCAACGTCACAGTCCTCTTGATGCAAAAAGGACTTCACATGTAATAACGATTGTGTCAACTTAAAGAGGGGGGATGAATCCAAAACTTCAATGTCCCTCCAACCCCGATGAAGGACCCTAGTCTCATTCCCATACAAAAAGCCATACAAAAAACAAAACCAAATCAAAGCAGCACAGTTATTGAGGGATCCAGAGACTAGTAAACTCCAGATGAGGAGAAACAGCGAGAAAAATACAGAAAGGAACAGGGAGAGAGAGAAGAGAGGAGAGGATGAACCTTCAATCTGTCCTGGGTCAATTAAGACCCTTGTGTCTCACAGGGCTCATTTGTGTTCCTTCGTTGGGGCGAAGTACAACTCCATGGGCTTGTTGACCTTCCAGTACTTTTCGCTCACCAGCTCCAGGGAGAAAGAGCCATTCAGGACCTGAGAGAGGAAAACATACTGTCATGTCATGTCATGCTGAGGAAAATCATGCACGACAATAGGGTTCTATAGGATGCTACAATTTAGTTTTGATGTGAAGGTACTCTCTTGTATTAACAGGTAAACTTGTGTTTTAGTAAGTCCAGATGCATTACCGTTTCCTCCTGGTACTAATTAAGGTGAGCATTCTTGTCATCAGTCATGTTGAGATTTCATCAAGACACTTCTCTTATTTTGAAATGCTCTTTATCGTAATTATGGGAGCACAAACACATACAAAGGATGACGATGACTTGAAGTTATGATCTGTGTTTTTATAAAACACAATCATGTGTTTGGTCCATGATTCGCTCAGAAGACATAGTTGGAGTTCTTACACTGAAAACAATCTGATCTGATCTGATGTGAATTTGACTTTGACTGGAAGAAGTTTAAAATAGACAAGCTTTATACCTCATTCACACCTTTATTTATTAAGTATCATGTTCTTGGACTGATAAATGCATCTTTATGGAAACTCGGCATAAAGATGCAATTTAAAAACAGCAAACTTTCATATGCCATCACGTCTATTGTCAATAGCATGGAGATTTATAAAGCACAACTCAGGTTACTTTTATACAGAGCAGTTTTAAGTTGGTCAACATGATAAATATGCATAATTAATTTGGACAATTTTGCAACCATCATGTGAACCTCCACCTCAGACACATTGCCATTTAAAACGACAATAAAAAAAGGAAAAGATAATTTTGCCAAGTAATGGAAAATGCAGTGGTGAAAAATAGGGATGCTGCTAATAATCGATTCACCATTAACCGAAAGGGTGCGCTTTTAACCACTTAATGGTAATTGACTGCATAATGTGCAACAGAGAATTGTTAACTCGCGGGAAGTTAACACGTGCAACCACACATCTGCATATCCCCACAGACATATTTTCCCTAAGAGGCAAACTAAAAGAAGAATATTACTGGTCACAGATTGACACAGATGAGTTGAACCAGCGCTGATGCTGATTCCCTCCATCCTGGATATGCGTCATGAATGCTTCTGTTTATTTGTGCAATTGGAGAAAGAAGCCGCAAAACAAAACTTTCTGATATGTGCGCTGCTTTGGAAACAAGCCGGCCATAAGTCGGAGCGTCAGGATTTTCTCTCCATCAGAGCGTGCTCTGGCACCGCTCATAAACACAACAAATAGGCTAAAGTTGTAATGATTTATTGTATAACCAACAAACCAACCTTTTTCCATTTGGAAAAAAATACAGTTATTATTTCTTTTAAAATATCTATTTTTAAAAAAAGCCTCTACTGTTGATTTTCACCAAACTGAGGCTTTAATTTGATAGTTTATAAAATATGTATGCAAATTAATGCAATTTTTATAAGTAAACAACTAAATTTTTATATGTTAAAGTAGCTTATACTTTACAAAAAGTCAACATATGAGCCTTGTCATTGTCTTTCATCACGCGGAGCTCAGGCACATGAACCGTGAGTGAGAGAGGAAATAAAAGCACACATGCTCCAAGGCAAAACCCGACACTCAAGACATAATCTTTAAAATAATGACTTTTTGATTAAAAATGTTGACAGAGGTTTGTGATATAAGAAATGCAGTGGAGCATTAATTAAATTAATATTTTCTGGAGCGATTGATTTGAGGTAGTCGGCTATTTTTATTTGACAGAAGAAAAAAAAACACGATGAGAAAAATAAACAACCTATGCTATCTCTTAAAAAAGGATTCGGTCAGTGTTTAATTTTGTAATCAAAATTTGTCATTTAAGTGAAAAATATCTAGGGCAGGCCTATTTATTTAACTTCTTTTATTTAGTTTATTCGGTTTTCCTATGCTGTTGGAAACACTGCCGGTGTGGAGATGTTCTGTTGTTATGTTCTGTTTTTAATCTGTTGGCATGTTAAAATAAAGTATTTTATAATGCAATATTTAATGTGTCAGACACAAAATATATAATAACTTCAGTAATAATTTAATATTTATTGTTAATAAACCAATTAATGGTTAATATTCAGTTAACAGAGGCAGATGTCAGTTGGCAAACTTAAGCGAAATGAGCCTCCCTATTGGAGCAGTATAAGGAAAAATTGCCATTCCGTAACGGCAATCACAACTATAAAATGATACTTTAAATGCTTCACAGAGTTATTCTTTGGAGACTTTGGAAACTTATAGAAAACTGACATGATTGTGCTGTAGTTTAATCAATACTTTGGCCTCCAAGTTACTGAAAATCTGAGCAGCAGCGTAAGATATTAAACATTTCCTATTTTATAATATTTGTCAAAATAATCCAAATATAGACCATACTGAGGTACAATAATAGCTGAATTAGCAGCACACTTACTGTGAACTGGTTGCTTGCTGTAGGGATGTAGATTGTGTACTGTTTTTCACTGGCGGCCTCTACATTGATGGGGCTTGCCTCTCCATTCTTGCGCATTTCCTCCAGAGCCAATCTGACAGCCAAGTATTTGGAAAGGTGGTCCACTGTGGCGTTCCCTGAAGTCTTGATGTACCTGGTATAAATTGCACATTTGTATTTACACTAAATAACAAAATCAACCAAACAAACTACAGCTAAAGCAGCAATAAATGAGTTAGGGAAAAATAGTATGTTGGTGATGTGAGCACACAGTTATGGTCCACCTTGTCTGAGCGGCGTCTTCTTTCTCCATCAGCGTTGGGTGAGGACGAAACACGAGCTCAATCTCGCTGACTCCATCCAGCGCAATGTCTCCTCCTCCATTCTCAGTGGCATTGTCCATGTCCAGTCCAGAGTCATCTGAGGTTTTGGTTCGTTTGATGCTGGGTCCAGCCTCTTGGTTACTGTGCACTGATGCATTGCTGCAATGTGAACTGTCCCCATTGTCCTCTGCCCCGCTGCCGTTTTCAATTTGATGCTTCTTCCCCCGCTGCAGTCTACAGTGCCCCGGTGGAGAATTGGTGTAAACCCAGGAACAAAACAGGATGAAGAAATAAAAAAATAAGTGCAAAATTCACATTTTACACTTAAAAGAAAGCTGCCTCAGAGCAGTCAGTAAACTGTTAAAAGATGATTATACATTAATAAGAAGCTATTTTTATCATGTTAACAGTAAACAAGAGGATTTGTAACAAAGCCGCAAACTAAAAAAAATTACCTACATTTTTGATTCTACAAATATAAATTGGTTGTGACAAAATGGCTCATATTAAACAGCAAACCTGTTCATGGCCTGGATTTTTAGGCCTTCTTCGATACTGTGGCTGAGCGCCTGCTGGTTGTTGTGTTTGCTGATGCGGGCCAGCACTCTCTCCTGGTGGGCTTCGTATTCGTCTCTGCTGGGGTAGATCTTACTGATCAGAGCGTCAAAGTTAGGGTCTGGACGAAGAGAGCGCTTAGACACCAGCTTCTTTCTGCATGTTGGACACTCCTTATTCCTGAAAGAACACAGGAGATATGACAATTAGGCAATGAAAATACAAATAAACAGCCTAAAATAGACATGAAACAGAAATGGTTCCCTATTGTAAAGTGTATCCGTATCACCTCAAATGTGAAAATGAAGGATGGGATTATATTTTTAGTAATAGGAACTGGATAAATCTTTCTTTTTTTGTCCATTTATTTAGTTGTGATAAGGAATAGTTTTATTTAGTTACTGGTCAAAACCCTCTACTAGCTTCTTTTGACAGACATTTATGCTATAAGGCTGTGTACAAGACAACATTTTCAGGAAATAAAATATTTTTGTTGTATGATATATTGTCACAGAAATAATTGCAATAAGCGATATTATCATCATTTTATGCAACTGTAATTATATAAGGATTATATAACAGTATGGTAGTCCTGTTCTAAACTTCTAAAAACACACACTAGTGTTTATTACAGTATCTGGGCTCATGGTGTCCAGGACATAAATATTTCAAAAATTCAGATAAGACTCACCATCTGCCCTCATAAGAGTAGGATAAATATTTCTCCATAATAATAAAGTATTTGCTTTTATTTCTTAAGTAATTTTCCTTATTATATTGTCTTTCTCTAATTCTTTTATATACAATGCTGTTGGCATGTCTCTGGGATGTCATGCAGTCGTAGTTTGAAATGTGCTTCAAAAATAAAATTGCCTTCCCTACTATGGATACCATTTTTTGCTTGCTTACTTTGAAACTCACTTGTCTTTTTTGGATGAAATATTAAATGAACATAAATCTAATTAACCTCAGCACTAATAGCCTTGTGGTTAGTGTGCCAACATATACAGTAGAACAGCGTTGCAGCATCCAGAGTTTGAATCACAGCTCGTGGACCTTACCCAAACCCATCCCCCTCTACAGCTTCACTTCCTGTCATAATTCTTTTTGTACAATAAAGGCAAAATGCCAAGAATAAATCTTAAAAATAAACAAATAAATAAACACATGTCTTAAACCTTTACCTACCCCACCAAGAAAAAATGGATTGCATTTACTAACTCCTTATGTTGCTGAATGCATTTTCACACATCCCGAAATTTCTAAAATATCAGCCTCCACCAAATGATTAAGATGGATGTTTATTGTATATATATTTTTTTAAGTTTGCCATAAAATTTTTCAGATTCTCAATTCACGTTTACTTGTTTTTTTTTGTTTAACAATAAAACCAAAATCAAGTGTAGAAGTGCAACAGGATTGTTTGTTTGATTTTTTTTTTGTAAACCAACAATACTGTGTGCGTAAACCATTATTTAAAATGGTCATTCTTTAAATGACTTTAACAGTCATCATTTAAAACAGTAAAAACATGGTCAACCATTTCGTATAGTGGCAGTCAAATAGTTAAAGTGTGAAAAATGCAGGTATTATTGTCCCACTCTCACACCACTGTACATGTAATCAGAGCGATAATATTGTGAGAGGTACCATTTTAGTTTTTACTTAAGATAATGAGGACACTTATTTTTCAAAATCACAAGTAAAAAATAGCCATTTGCAATTATTTTTAGGGGTTTTAACCTTAATTTTAAAGGACAGAATAGTGGAGCTGAGAGAGAGGAAGGATTGTCAAATGACCTCAAGCCGGAAATTGAACTTCGTACTAACCAGTAGGCTATTGCCATAATTGATATCATTTTGCACCACAAACAAAATATACTGTATAAAATAAATCTGAGATGATTAATAACTCAAACAAACCCTGATCTGAGAGCAGTGATGATGCAGTCGGCACAGAAACGGTGCAGGCATTCCTTGGTGGTCATAGTGTTCTTCAGCATGTCCAGGCAGATGGGACACATAAGCTCACTGTGCAGGCTGCGTGGGGACACTGCAATCTCCAGACCATCCGTGATGGCCTCCTATAGGAGCACAAAGGCACAAAAACTGTAAAGCTAAGTAGTAAGCAAGTAAACAATGAGTCATGAAGTGATTTACAACAAAATTGTAAAATGAGGTCTAAAGGACAAAGCACATTTAAGAGTTAAAAGAAAAAAAAACTACTAAAACAAAACAATTAAGGCATAGGCAAGTTTGAACCAGTGAGTTTTCAGCTGCTCTTTGAAAGTGTCCACAGATCTCCATTTCAGTGGAAGAGGATTCCACACTTTGGGAGCAACTACCTCAAAAGCCATTTCCTTTTGTCTTTAATCTAGAACGAGGAACAATTACTTGACAAACAAAAACTAGTTTTGAGGATCTCAGATTCCTACTAGAGTTGGAAGGTTTCAACACCTCTTGTACGTATACAGCTTGATCGTGCCCTAGAAACCATTGCAAGAATTTAAAAGTGAATTCTCGATTTGACAGGGAGTCAGTGCAAGTACGCTGTGAATGATTAATCAATGTTTAGTTATTTGTTTATTATTTATTTGTTGCCATATCAGCAACTTATGGCTATTTCATGTCAAAATGAATATACATAAAATATTACATGATAAAAACAAATTCTTATTATAATAAAAAGTTACTTAGAAAAATATATAAAATAGAAGTAAATAAAATTCACACAAAAATATATAAAGCTAAATATTAAAGTTAATTTTTTGATAAATAATTTAAGACTCTACCTTTTTAAATAATATTCATCAAAAAGTACTCTCCTTATAATGGTAAATTGGTATTCAAACTTCCATATTTCAACATAATAAGAGCAGCTTGGCAGTATCAATGATCAGTTAATTGTTGATAATACAACACATATAAAACATATCTCAAAACAGTGTCTCCTGACAAGGTTTCATTAAAGGCATTTTACAAGAGCAAATGAGGCAACTGTGGACAATTAACAGACAAACCGTGTTCTGTACACTGCTCTTCCGTGCACTCAAACGACCACTCCTCCCTCATTGAAAGTCAGGTAAGCATGTTTGTGTGATCATTCAATGGGTGAATACTTATTGCACAATTAAAATTTTGATTGATGTCTTTTGGACCAGTACTTTTTCAGAAAAGAGGGGAAAAGTACCACCTTCGCATGTGTATAAAAGATGATGGGTATTAACAGTGTTCCGTACACGATTAAAATAGTGTCCGCACAAGGCGCATAACTTCAGTTCACTGGCAAAAACGGTCATTGTTTGAAGTCTTATTAAAAACTTATGTCAGAATATACTATTATTGCGTTTAACTTCAACTTAATGTTATATTTAATATATTTTTTTATGAAAGTTTACAATGAAAGAACCTTACAATCATTTAGCAGGGCTCGAAATTGCGACCATTTTGGTCGCATATGCGCCCGAAAATTAATCTATGCGACCTCATAATATATTTGGGCGCATTAGGGCGACTGCTAATAATGGTTGTAGTGCGACCTGTTTTGATTTTTTGTAAAAACGTGCTGAATCGCTCTTCCCTGCCGCTATATTGGTTCATATTAGCTGTCATTCACTCAAGGTATTCCGCTGTCAGATGACAGGGAAGGAGCTTTTATGACCACGGGAAATGCAAACGGCAGAAGAGTAAAAACTTAAAGCACACAGGTTTGCAAACCCCACCTAAAATTGAGGTGCAGATGAGAGCGATCATGACACGTCACGTGGTGAATAATGATCCGCCAGCTGAGATCAATCGAGTACGCGCTTCATGGAGAAGGCGCCCGAATCTCCATGCGTTGCATTCACTGCGTGTTCAGCGCAAATGTCCGCTAAAAGTCAAATCTAATACTGTACATTTCATCGCCAAAGAAGCTCGCCTTTACTAAGTTTACACTGAAACTGCGTCTCATAACAAACAGCGGTATTCCGCCGGTGGTCACCGCAAGAATCTTGCGCTGCCTGCTCATAAATTGGGTCGGCTGACTCGCCAGCTTTTCCACTAACACAGAAAAATGAAGATCATCTCAGACCTTTAAATTGACACAAACTGAAACCAAATCTTTTAAAGAGTGATAGAAGTGAGACTTTACTTTCTTTCTTTTGTCTATCTTTTTTGAGGTGTATATTATTTTTATTTTTTATTTATTTACTGATGACTGCTTTGCAGCTTTCATCATTGAATTGAATGATTTATTATAATCTTTTGTTTGTTTTGTAGCAGAAATATTATTTATTAAATTGACATGCATAAAACAGCAGTACAAAATAAATATTTCTTACTGCAATGCTTCATTTTTGTTTGATGCAAACTATACAATTATTTTTCATAGAGTAACAGACTTTTTATAGCAGATTACCTACATTCATGCACATTCAAGGCAGTATCATAATGAGAAATGTAATTCATTTTTACTATTATTGTCATTTTCATCATCATTAATATTCTATAATTATTAGACAATCATTTTGGAATTATTGCACACAAATATCAATGTCTTCGCAGCATTAGTTAGATAGTTGTTTCTGGTTTTTGTCAGTCCTATTGATGTTGTTTTAAAATACAATAAATCCCTTAAAAAGCAATTTGCAGCGGTGCTCCATCATTTTTGGTGGGTGCTCCTAAATTTTTTCTGGTGCTCCTAAATTTATTTTGGTGCTCCTAAATATTTAAAGTTGGGAGCACCGGTGCTACCAAGTAAAAAAGTTAATTTCGAGCCCTGTTTAAGTTTTAGATCATGCTTATTTTTACACAGCATGACAATTTTAAAGCATTTATTCAACAAAAGATCATTTATTTAACAATTAGTGATAGCATGATATTCATTAAACTAACACTGTAATACTGTGTAATGCATAAATTCAATTCAAATGCATATTTTTCTTGCCCTAAATGTCTCCCCTCCTAAGCGAAACTCACACCTTAAGCTTGCCCACAGTTAATTATCAAGCACATTAGGTGGACGAAGGAAACATACTGATTTTTTTCGGAAACATTTGGTAGGAGAGTCTTTGTTATGATCGTGAATGAACGAGTGAGATGCAAAGATTACTCAGATATATACCTTGTCTATGAACCGCAAGTATTGGTGTTAAAAGGTCATCTGTACGGAACGTCGCTGTGTATGGACTATGGTTAGTCTACTTTATACAATAGTAGTTTTTTTAACGTTACCTGTGGAGTTCTCTGTAATTCATATAGACTGAGCTCCCAGGTCTTGCTGAGGGGTTGAACCCCATTTGTCTGGACCGTCTGTGTCATCTTCATACACCACGTCTTTTCTGTAAAAAATAACAGTAGAGAAGAGTATTGACAGAAGGTCAAAATACCAAATTCTGCCACAAGTGCTACATGTACAGACAGAAACAAGACAAACGACAAATTAAAGTTTATGTATTTGTGATGATTTTTTTTCTATCCAGGACTTAAAGACTTTGTAACCACGATTTTTCAAATATATTCTTAATCAGGACAAGGACAAAAGAGTTTTACGGTGATTATCTTTGACAACTGACATCTGAGGGATGATCCTCTCTGTTGACGCTGGTTAACGTTAACGTACAACTAAAACTGGCACGTTGTCCAGAAATCCCTAAGCATGTTTACCTCAGTCATCAGCATTGAGTGTTTTTTTATATTATCATACTAATCATAATGTAATAAATCATTTAACGTTATCTGTCTAACCAAGTAGACAGTGAGCTAGCAGGCTAAAATTAGCTCCTGGATGCACTTATAACTCTTTGTGTCACTGAATGCACGAAGCATCTGCCTGCACATACAAAGTGTCTTTTGACGTACTGTGCCTGCTTTCCAGCAACATATAGATATCAAGTACTCCAAAATGAAATACGCGGAAGAGAAAATAAATACGGCGGTAATGTTTATCGCCTGCGCTGTCATGAAAACGTAAAGCTAACGGCTAACTCTCACGGCTAATCCAGATGCTGTTTTTACAGGCTCTATTAATCACCTCGGAGATCAATGTCGGCGAGATTGTGACATTTAAACCATTTCGTGCTAATTAAGCCGTTAACGTCGACAAGCAATAAGCATATATTTTAGTAAAAACGCAGCTGTTTACATACTTACATCTCAATGTTGTGAACACTCTCTCTCCTGCCAGCGCGTTCTGGTGAGCTCAATATGGCGGATTTAGTCGGTCCAAAGGAACTCTGGGAAATGTGGTATTTTCAGCAATAGAGTCAGTCTTGGAATCATTCGCTTTGCTAATGTCAAAAATGGTTTATTTGTGGCTCATTGATGACTAAATCCAAACTGTTTTTAGAGGCGTTTAGGAAAGACCACAGTCCGATACATTAAAGGAGACTAATGACAAACCACAGCCTTGACCACAGTCCTAAAATGAGATTGTTTTTATATGAGGGAAAAAAACATAGAGGCCAATTTGTCCCACATGAAATAATAAAGAAAATTCATGCCTATATTAAAGTCAGAATTATCTGCTGAAAATGCAATGACAATTGCATTGGATATTGAGTGGATATTGTAAAGTTTTAAAGAAAACTGTCTGTGATAGTCCCTTATGATTTTGATATGATATGCTTTTAATAGGTGAGTTGTTTGAGTTGGTGGATGCTGGATGTATTTGTAGTTCAACCCAGTACAACATTTCAGCTCAGAGCAAGATATTAAAACTGAAACCCTGCATGCAGAATTCTGTAATAATAATAATAATAATAATAAACATCACATAACACAGAGCAGAATTGCCAAATATCCACTAATATCAAGCATACAATAATGTGATCATAATGGTGTCTAAGGGTATTCCTTTTGAAAATGAACCTTCATTATAGTAAGTGTTCTATGATATTTTTGGCATGTTTATTATCATTTATATAACCTTGCTTTTATGTCAAATACCATGGTTAATGGTTATGTACCAGAACCATGCAATTTCTAGTTCCATGGCTTAACTACAAAAGCCACAAATAGTAAAACCATGACTAAATTTCGTAAAGACTGGAAATTAGTTTGCCTTCTATTGGTAACAGGTTAAAACCACTAAATACTAATAAATTTTATATGTGCCAGCCAAAACATCTAAGAAACCATTCCCCCTTTTTTTAGACAAAAATGTTTTAATGGTTGAAAACTGAGGGTGTGCAGCAGCAGCCTATGTTTTTGCACAGGAAACCATCAAACTGTCTGTGATGTTTCAATTTATTTAGTTTTCTTTTGGACATTACAGTGGATTACAGTGGATTACAGTAGAATTAACCGCCAACTTATACAGCATATGTTTTACACAGTGGATGCCCTTCCAGGTGCAACCCAGTACTGGGAAACACCCATACACTCTCATTCACACACATACGGTCAATTTAGTTTATTTAATTCACCTACAGCACAGGTGTATGGATGGACTGAGGGGGAAACAGGAGCACCCGGAGGAAACCCATGCCAACACGGGGAGAACATGCAAACTCCACACAGAAACGCCAACTGCAACCGGGACTCGAACCAGCGACCTGCTGTGAGGCTGTGTGCCTTGTCTGTGATGCTTTTTCAGCAAGGACGACATAATTATAATGATGAGATACAAAGTTATAATTAGGATAAAATATATTAGATAAATGATACCAATGAGACAACATGAAATAACTCACAAAGTTTGTTCAAGGTTTGAATTAAACTATGAAAGTGAATCTTGGGAGTCAGAGTTATCCCCATTAAAATTAAAAGTGGAAGTTAAATAGTTTCTTATAATTTACATTTTTGTTTGTCATATTATGATTTGCTAGCATTTTATGTGGCAAAAATAAATGTTTTATGATTCTGTGGAAAGTCAATGCGAGTAAAACCAAGTGCAAACACGTGCCTCTAGAGGGGAGTAGAGTTACTGTATAACATAGCCTACATCTTTTGGGTAACACATCATTTTTTAATTGGCAAACTTAACTTCTTTTTTTTTTTAAGTAAATAAGCAACAGGGTTTCTAACGTTACACAAATTATAGGCTGTATTTAAATCCTTGCGTGTTACACATAGGAAGCATGGTGCACATTTTGCTCTTTGCCTACTGTTTATCTTTTGTTCAACAGGACGCGCCCTCACCGTTTGTCTATCATTTTGTAGGCTACTGTCAGCAGTTCATGTAGGTGCAGAATACGATTTAAACTAATAAACTACGATATAAGTTCTAGTCTATTCCAAAACTATTAGAATTAAACCAATTTTGTCAAAATAAATTTTTTTAAATACCTTTTAAAAATAGTCTCATTAAAGAAGTGTAAACCTGCATTAACAACATTTTTGAGCACATTAAAACGCAAACAAACCAAACTAACCCCAAAACAGCGCTGTGTAAAACTGCAGTTCGGATGTTGACAGAGCGGAGAGGATAGGCGGGCGGGCGCTGCAGTTTGAGGAAGTTTGAGATGCTTGAGTCAGTTTGTTAGCGCTCGTCATTATCTGCCAGTCAAAATAGCCGCTGTGCTTCACATCACAATCGGACTAACGGAAAAATTCACTCGGGACAGATCAGGACAAACGCGGCACAATGGGAGCATCCTCATCCAGTCTGTTGGACGAGAGCAAAATAAACTACATACGAGGTAAACGGATTTCTCTATCTGCTATACGAGTTGCAGCTGACTTAGCTATTTATATTTTTGAGATTAATAATCATTACTGAAAGGGACTTTACTTCTCATTTATGCGTTACTATTTTCTTCCTCATATTTACTGCATTTATGTTGTAAATTCAAATTAAGCGTCTTATCACTAAATAATCCTTATCTGTAAGTATTGCTGCAACTGAATTTTCAAGAATAACCTACTTTTGTTAAACACTAAAGGCCGACAACCAAGGTGCTGTAGTGCAGGAAATATCACTAGTTTATGTTAAAGTTTCATGCAAAATGCACACCCACCCAAATCTACCACACGCCCACCACACCTTTAACTCCACCTATCAGCAGTTATCCCACAGATTAGTCATAATAACCCATTTCACATACTTCATTGTTTTGTGAAAATTAATTACATAGATTGCTGGTAAAATTGGCACTCACAAAAAGTGAAAGTGAACATCAGCATACTTGTGATTTGACCCAACACTCTACAAAAGGCTGGGTTATTTTAACTCAAATTGGGTAAAATATGGACTCATTTTGACCCAGTACAAACTCAAAGTATGTCTTAGTTATTAATTTTTATGTGTTTTTTCCAAGAATGCAGTTTGTTTCTTAAGTTAAATCAATGCAAGCATCTTTGTTTGCCCCATTGTTTAGTGAAGGCTGAATTGAGCTCAAAGACTATAGCTGAGAACCAGTGATTAACACTGTATAATTACATTTTATAATAACATGCAGTATTAATGGATGTAAACTACACTGTTGACCTCCCTTATACCTATTCATACCATCAGATCAGTCCCGAAACAATTTCATAAAATGTTTAGGACGTAGCTAAGATGCACAAAATAAACTGGAACGTAACTTATAATGTGTGCATGTAGGACCCACCCAAAGACTCACCCCTCACTGACAAAGGTCCAGAATTTGTGTCATACATGATGAGCTCATTTGTCCTATTTTGACTGCTACGCCATAAATTGTGCAAATAATCCATAGAAAAAGGCTTTAATACCAAGCAGAATCCTGTGTTGGCTACGGAAAGTTGAATGTGCTGGTCATTATTTTCAAATTAATGATATTTAAATGACAATAGGCTACAGTTTCTTATTTAAAACTTAAACAGATTCCTATGTTTTACTATTGATATATGATGTAATTGATGTATAAATAAGGTATATGATGTAAATGATAATTGATGTAAATCTCTAGGAAATGTTTTTGGTTCATCATTATGATGACCGTCCAGCAAGCTAATCCAGCAAAAAATAATGCTTTAAAAGGCAGTAAAATGTGTCACGTAGGCGCAGTGGTTAGCACGATCACCTCACAGATAGAAGGTTGCTGGTTTGAGCCCCGGCTGGGTCAATTAGTATTTTTGTGTGGAGTTTGCATGTTCTCCCCATGTTTGCGTGGGTTTTCCTCCAGGGTGCTCCAAGGAGTCCAAAGTCATTTGCTATAGGTGAATAGGGTGAGCAAAATGGGCTGTAGTGTATGTGTGTGAATGCAATAGTGTAAGGGTGTTTCCCAGTGATGGGTTGCAATTGGAAAGGCATCTGCTGTGTAAAACAGATGCTGGATAAGTTGGCGGTTCATTCCACTGTGGCGACCCTAGATAAGTAAAGGAACCAAGCCGAAAAGAATACAACTAAATGAATGAAAGTCACTAAAATGCAGTATTTAAACCTCATAATTTAAAAAAAAATGAGGCGAATAACTGCAAAAAGGTTCACTTTTTTAAAAAAAAGTATCACCCTTTTCACCAGGCTGGCTAGCAGCCTGTATATAAAGTGTTATCACAATTTCTTCCCCCTTACAAAGATATGTGGTTAAATGTAAAATCAGCTGCAGTAGCACTAATCTAATATTCCAACTAAAGTTAGTTGACAGTTTCGACTACTTACATATTAAACAGAATGTCTAAAAGGGATCACCAAAATAAAGTGTACTCCTAATTAATCCTGAATGTGCGGTACAGTATAAAATGCAAACATGCATAACCTAATCATACCATGAAGCCTGTTACCCTGGTAGCAGCAAAAGTATGCAATAATTGCATTGCACATAGAAGTTGATTTTCTCCTCACAAGTAAATAAGACACAAATTATAAAGCAGAGCTATTGTGTATAACACAAAGAGATGAATAATGTGAAGTGTTACCACAATTTCCTTTTTTCTCCTCCAAAAATCTGTAGATTCTGTTTCGCATTTCATTGCATATTTGCAGCACTCTCAGAATCAGTGATATACTGCCTTTGTGAATGCAGTGAAGTCAGTGCGTATGTGATTCGACTGGAATGTCACACATTCTGAGCGCATATACTGCAGAGAATGGGTTTCCTTCCCCTGATGGGGAGCACAGCTGTTCCTGCATAATGGGGATTGTTTTGCCCTTATTTCATCTGGCCAGCAGTGAGCAGGAAGTATTGAACCAGAGTGGAAATTCATTCCAACATTCACTTCTCTTTATTGTTCAGTCTTCTCAACTAAATATTTATTGTCATTTCTTTGCCTCCTTGAAGTAACCTTAAGGCTAGACTTTAGACTTTAAAAAGTCTGCTTTACTTATATGGGAAAAGTATTTATTGAATTTCACATGCAGTAGTGACAACTGCACACCTAACACAGCTAGGCAAATAAATTATAGCCTAAAATATTTAATGATCAAAGTAAAAAGACACACTAATTGTTGACACTGTGACATCACATTTGTGTGGTTCATCTGGTAAACTATTAGCAGAATGAGTCTGGGTTTAAACTGAAACAGAAAGAGCTTCATTCTTGGAGTGAATACTGCCCTTGTGCTCCAAAAACTCAAGTTATTTGCCACGTCCTCTTGGCTGTTTTTTTTAATTTTTTTGGCCCTGGCATGTATTTGCTCACTGCTATCCAATGTATACACACACAGGTTAAATGAGGACTCTGATCACTCCAGGGTTTGTGCTGTTGTTAGAAAGCTATGTGTTTGATTACATTTGTTTTCCTCCCATAACAGTTAATTACGAGCCATTAAACAGTCATCACGCAATCTTAAAACATACAGAATAGGCATAAAGCTGTATATGCAGTTTGACGCAACAGATGGTAAAAATCAAAACAGCACCAGCATGTAAAAGCTGGACAGAATTATGATGCTCGATTCACCACCCCCTCCTCCGCTAAACTCCTAAATGATGTCATGGGGTTTTTTGGCATCAACTTGGATTGATTTAGCTGAGAAGGGCCTGGTGGGCTAAAATGGTGCTTAAAAATGAAATGCAACAATATATGAGATTGTAATGTAAAAATAAATAAGGCACACAGAAATCACTAGCACAGCCTGAATTATGCACTTCAGTCTAACGTAAAATATGTTGCATCCTATGTTTCGTTGCATGTTTCAGATGACAAATCCACTAGAGGGCACTGTGTATAGTTTTGTAAATCTAAAATATGCAATTTTTTTGGCAATGGTTTCCAAAGTAGGGGTCATGGGACAATGACTCAAACAAACTCAAACAAATTTTTTTAAACTATTAAAATGACCATACTTTTCCCAGAGATGGGTTGCTGCTGGAAGGGCATCCGCTGTGTAAAAACGTGCTGGATAAGTTGGCGGTTCATTCCGCTGTGGTGACCCCGAATTAATAAAGGGATTAAGCCGGAAAAAAAATGAATGAATAAATGAATGACCATATTTTATCCATAACCCACAGAAGATAAAAATAGCAGTTAATAGTTACATAAAAAACAACAACATGCAAATGAAAAGCCATCAGCCTTTAGCTTATTTTTTGTTAAAGGATCTATGTGCTTACGTTAGATGAATAACACAGCAATAGCGTCAGCTGCAGCAGATTGATTTTATAGCACCAGGTCAAACTTTCTGACACCTTTATGGCAATCAAATGCATTAAAAATAAATACAGGCCACAACTGAACATTGAGAAAGAGAGTGGCTCTAAAATTAAACCAAGAATAGACTTTTGCTGAAAACATTGTGCCCACCAGTCTCATTAAGTGAGGTTAATATAAATTTAAACAAATTATTAAATGACTTAAAAATTATATGGGTGTAACGATGGCGCAGTGGGTAGCACAATCGCCTCACAGCAAGAAGGTTGCTGGTTCAAGAAATGCCAACTGACCCAGCTGGGCTCGAACCAGCGACCTTCTTGCTGTGAGGCGATCATGTTACCCATTGCACCACTGTTAAGCCTTCACTGGGGATGTATATAGGTTTATTAATTTAGTTTATGCACTATTTTTATGGTCCCGTTTGGACAAGCTGATCCTGTAAGTAGCTTTTAATCCACATATTAACCAGCCAATGGTTTGCTTTGGGTTATAAGAAGTAGTAGGTCTCTAATCACAGGGTCGCAACCTTGAAAGAATTGCTACTAGTTCTGGGAAAAATGTCTATAGGTCTATATCTCTATAGGTTTGTGTCATTTATTGGTCACTTGAACATTTTTGTCAACAAAGTAAAAAAACAAAAACTAAATGGAAAAATTGACAACCAAAACAACAATGGCAAACTGCAGGACTGTCAAATCAAATCAAATCAAATGACTTTTATTGTCACATCATCAGTCTGTAAAATAACACACAAAATGTTTATTTTCAATTGAATTTAATTCAATTCATGTTTATTTCTACACCGCTTTTACAATGTAGATTGTGTCAAAGCAGCTTAACATAGAAGTTGTAGTAAATTCAGTTCAGTTTTCAGAGCTGAAGTTCAGTTCAGTTTAGTTCAGTTCTGTTCAGTTCAGCGTGGTTTAAATTTCACTGCTGTCCAAACACTGAACAGCAAATCCGGCGATGCGAAGCTCCACAAGTCCCGTACAAGCAAGCTAGTGGCGACTGTGGCGAGTAACAAACTTCACCAATTGATGAAATGAAGGAAAAAATACATTTTCTATGTCATGTTTCTTTACCATCTGCATCTACAAGGGCATAATCATGACATGTACAGCCAATCACTGCATAATCTGTA